CTTTTTGAACCTGCCTGGGAGGAGCCTCTGAGCTTGGCTCAGGTACCACGGGCTGGAGCTGGGGCTGGGGCTGGTGGGGGTGTCTCCATCCTTCAGCAGCCACCAGCTCTGCCTGGACCCTGACGTCCTGTTGCTCTAGTGAAGAACCTGTCGGTCTGAGGATGAAAACGTGAGTTTAAAGACTAAAATAATCTATTTGGGGGAAGGGAGATGGTCTTCTGTGAAATCTGGGAGTGATGTGGGGTGATAAAACCTGAAAACCAAAATTCTTGCTGTGATGTGATAAAGCGAGTGGGTAAAATCCATCTATTTTGATTAATACCTCAAGTTTTGTGCTATTCCCAACTCAACCAGTGCCACACGTTGAGAGGGGCTTTGTTCTAAGCTTGAGAAGGTTCCTGGGGTCTCTTTGATCGACCTTCTCCCATGAGGTGCCTCCTCACTCCCCCCAATTTGAGATTCCACACGGGAGGTTTGTGTCCCAGCCCACCCTGCTGCTCATTGCCCTAAATTTGTTGCAATTCTCAGATGAAGGAAACCTGATGATGAACCACAAAATTTGGTGTTTCAAAGCACTGCTGATGGGGGTGGGGCCTCCTTGAAAGCGTCTTGAGCTCGTGGCAAGGAGCCACCTGGTCAGGCTGTTAAGGTGCTGATGTGCCTCACTCTGTACTTGCTTAATTACAGCCCCTATTTAATTGCTTTAGGCTGCTGCAGGTCATTGTCTCTGCAATGCCTGGTGGAAATCTGGATGGAATTAGGCCCAGGCCTTCCATGGGCATCTCCACCCCTTCTCTCCCTGCTTCAACTAGTGAGAACTGAGTTTTTCTTTCTTGGGCTGGAGACTCTTGGCTGAGCCTTTGTTTCTTGGGTCTGGAGGAGACCGTGAGCTGTTCCCCTCCAGCTACGTGGAGTCAGAGGTTGAGAAGCAGCTTTATGGTTTATGGGGAGAGAGATGAACAATATGCAAAGCAGTGAGGTGACTGGGGTGAAGGTTCTGGCACCGTGTGCTCAGCAGCCAGGTTTGCTTTTCCTTATTCATCAAGATCCTTCCAGTAACCTCAAAAGGTGCCTGGAGCTGCAGGTGGAGTCTCCAAGATGAGGCAATTTCATAGAAGGCTCAAACGGTTTGGGTTGGAAGGGAACTTTCAAGGTCATCTAGTCTGAACCCCCTGCACGGAGCAGAGACATCTCCAACTAGAGCAGGGTGCTCAGAGCCCCGGCCAACCTCACCTGGGATGGTGCCAGGGATGGGGGAACCTTGGAACAGGGGCTCACCACCCTCAGCATCCAAATTTTCTCCCTTCTCTCTGGTCTAAATCTCCCTCTTTGAGTTTCAAACCATCCCCCCTTGTCCTGTCCCAACAGCCCCTGCTCAAAAGTCCCTCCCCAGCTTCCTTCTAGGCCCTCTTGAAGTATTGGAAGTAAGTGAGGTGAGGTGACAGATCACAAAAGGGTTTGGGTTGGAAGGGACCTTTAAAGCTCATCTTTATCTGCACCTAGAGCAGGTTTGCTACGTGATGATGATTCTCTCCACGGAGAGATGGAGGCACCTGGGACACAAGGAACTGAGAAATAGCCACTTTTATTCCATCTTAGTCATCTCATGAAGTATTTTGTACATAAATAAATTGAAAATTACTAAACCAGGGTAAGATTAGAGTTGTGAAACCTACTTGGACTTTACTATTTTAGTATTCCCCTTGTCTTCATGAAGTGTTTCACTCAGTGCTTATGACACTCAGTCCTCCTCAAGGCTTTTCTTCAGCCCTTTAGCTGCTGACGTCCCTCTGCTGGCTTCACTTAGGGAAAAAACCCCAAACCATTTACCCCAGCACCCCAAATGCCCCCAAAGTGAACAGCAGCCCCCGGCGAGCTCAGCCCGCGAGCCTCGCTCAGAGCTCTTCCTTCTTCAAGGCACTCCCCAGCTCCTCCAGCTCCTCCTCCAGCCCCTCCAGAACCTCGCCGCTCTCGTGGTGGATGTTGCTGGCGGCCCTGACGGCCGATTTCATGGCGGTGTCGATCCAGGCGTGGGGCTGAGCCGTGTGTTCTCCTGCAAAGTGGACCCTGCCCTCCTGCTCGAAGAGAGCCCGCGAGTAGTCGGTGAACTGGTAGGGGGTGAAGGCGGCGAAGGCCCCCATGGAGTGTTGGTCCACCTGCCACTTCTGGATGACGTACTGCTTGCAGACCTGCTGCAGGTGTTGCTTCTTCACTCGGTGGATGTCCGACAGGTCTTGGAAGATGATGTCCAGGCACTGCTCGTCCGTGAGGGGCAGGAAAAACTCGGCGTCGTCGTTCCAGGTGTAGGAAGCCAAGAGGACCCCCAGCCCGCTGGAGAAGTTGTGGCTGGGGTAGTAGATGAAGCGGGAAGGGCGGTCGGTGATGGATTGTCCTCCTCGGATGCCGTCCTTCTCCCAGAACTTCTCCGTGCAAGCCAGGGCTATTTTGGAGGAGCTCGCGTAGTGGACGGAGCGCAAGGCGTGGGTCTTGGGAGGAGAGAGGGGTGGCAGGAACTGGATGTGCCTGGTGGCCTTGGCGGTGGACGTGACAAGGACGTAATCCGCCGTGACCGTGGCTGTGTCCTCCCCGTTGTCCGAGGTACGATAAGTCACGTGGACTTTGTGTCCCTCCCTCTTGATCTTCTCCACCACGGAGTGGAAGCGGATGACGTCGGGCAGCGCTTTGTGGAAGGCTTTGGGCAGTTGGTCGAAGCCTCCGGTGATTTCGTCGAAACTGGAAAGGAAGAAGCAGCAGGAGGTGAGGGAAGGACGTTGGGGTCCAGGGACTGCAAGACCTGAGCTCTCCCCGGGATGCCAACGCAGCTTGGTGGCCCTTTGTCTGAAGAGTGGTTTCCATCTGGACATCTAAAGGCCACTGAAATTGGCTCTTTGGGGGCCTTGCTGTGGATGGGCACGAAATGGTGTTGGCCATAAGAGCCGTGGTCTTACCTTTCATTAGAGAAGATATCAAAATCCCACAGGGAGGAAAGGAAGGAGAGATAAAACCCAGAGTCATCGTTCAACAAGTCACCGATCATGTCAACTGCTCCTCGGCTTAGGTTTCCCACTTTAATCAAATACTCCTGGAAAAGCCAAGAAGAAGACAAAGGTTGATGTCAGTGCCTGTAACCCTTTGATGTCCAAGCCACAGGTCACTGCCTGCTGCCTTTTCTCAGAATTGCCAAACACTTCCATGATTCCTGCAGGACATCAACGTCCCCTTCTCGTTCAGCACGGCAGAAGTTCTGGAGATGAACGGAGGAGGGATTTGTGATGTGTCCACTCTGAGACAGCTGGACCACACAAAGATGCCACAGTTTGCTCAGCAAACCCTCCCCCAGTGCTCAATGCTTCATCATCTCCCAGTAAGAGACCCGTGGTGGAGGACCATGGCTAAGCTGGATGACTCTCCAGAGCATTTCCAGGCGCTGCTGCTTCTCTCCTCTTCCCAGATGATGAGACTGTTCTAACAATCCCATCAGAGCCATGGTTGCTCCTTTCACAGCATCCCAAGTATCAGCAGAAGGGACCAGAGGGACTCGCTCAGGTCCTCTCTCAAAGCAGGGATGGTGGGTTCATGATCAGCGTGGGGGGGTTAAATTCACCCTTTACCTTGGTGGAGAAGGAGTCGTATTTGTCTAGATACTTCTTGCAGTCTGTAGCCTGGAAGGTCTCGAAAGCCTGGAGAGAAAAAGTTGAGATATTCATAAGGAAAAGTGCATTTCAAAGGTGCTGGCCTAAATTCTGCTAGAATCCTCAATTAGAATTATCATTTATAATTGATCATCATCACTAATTGCCATTAGAGTCATCGTTTTCATTGGAAGAGACCTTTGAGATCCTGGAGTCCAACCATCCCCCAGCCCGGGCAGGTCCCCACTGCCCCGTGTCCCTCACAGCCCATCTGCAGGGCTGGGGAACCCCTCCACGGGTGGGGACTCCACCACTGCCCTGGGCAGCCTGGCACAGCCCTGGGCAACCCTCCAGGGCAAGAAATTGTTCCTCAGGGGCAACTGAAACCTCCCCTGGGGCAACTTCAGCCCAGTCCATCTCGTTCTGCCCCCTGGGGACAAGAGATCTCCCCCCGCTGGCTCCAGGCTCCTGTCAGGAGGTGTCAGAGCCAGAAGGTCTCCCCTGAGCCTCCTTTGCTCCAGGCTCAGCACCCCCAGGGCCCTCAGCTACTCCTTCAGTCCCTTCCCCAGCTTCGTTGCCCTTCTCTGCCCACACTCCAGCCCCTCATGTCAGCTTCATGTCTCTCGGAGCACCATTTCTGGAAGGTTCCATCCCTTCCCCACGGGCAGGTACCTTGTTTAGTGCTTCTTTATAAAGCTGAGAGGCACTTTTGCCTCTCTCTGATGGTTTCACCGGGTACTTCAGGACATCTGGGTTTCTATTCACGTCCTCCGTTCTTATCCGGGTGCCGTTCAGGAAGTACCAGGTTTTGTCGTGCGTCTGGATGAACGGGTTTAATTTCAGCTTAAACTGCCTGATGAACTCACGGACCAGCCTAGGAGAGAGGGAGAGCCCATGGGGACAAGTTCTTGCAGGAAACCTCACCCCGAAACCCCGCCACCAAACCTCTAGAAGCAGAAAAAAAGACACTCTCCCATCAGTGGTGGCGTAGCCACGTCTCACTGGGACTTGTGAGGGGAGGTTGTGGCTATTTGGGGTGCTGCTGTGAGTAGTTTTTGCAGCTTGAAGTTGTCCTACCTGCTCCCAGCAGACGTGCAGCAAGCACGGGGCTTTGGAGAAAGGTGCCCTCTGGGTGATGTTCTTTCATCTGCTGGTTGCACAAGGATGTAGTTGGGAGCAAGAGCGAGGCTCTGCTGAAGCAGGAGTCAGGGATTCCCCGTGGCTCTGACTCTCCTTGGCAGGTGGTGTGGTTTGGGGACCGACCCACAGCCCCTTCACACAATATTTTGGCTGATGGCTGAGCCCAGTTTGACTCTACCCTCTTGGAGAGCCCAGGCTGGGTGCCCTCTCCATCAGACCCACTGGAAACTCATCCATCTTAGAGTCACAGAACCCTTTAGGTTGGAAGAGACCTCCAAGATCATCTCGTCCAACCATCAAATCAACACTACTGAGCTCTCTGCTAAAACAGATCAGAATCTGTCAGGGCTGGAAGGGACCACAAGGATCCCCCAGTTCCAACCCCTCTGCCATGAGCAGGGACACCTCCCACCAGATCAGGCTGCCCAGAGGCATCTGCTGATGTTGTGACTTCCAAACTGGAATTTTGACTATGCAGGGATGTGATACTGAGGTGAGAGGTCTTCTGTTATTCTCCCAGCTCAAATGCAGGTGGTCAGTTGGGAGTTTTTTTGTCCCTCTCAGGCAGATGTTGAGCTCTGGAGGGAGAGATGGGGACAGGCCACTCCTCCCTCCTGCTGTGCTACACCCACCTCCTGGGTCCCACCCCAAAACGCAGCTTTGCTCCTCAGAACAGGCTGGTTCCTTATCAGATCAAGGCTGTGAAGTGGGAAATTCTCTTACTTGTGCTTCTTTGGCAGGCGCATGGCTCCCAGCTCCACGTACCACTCCCCTCCCTCCGACCGGTAGGTCCTCACTCGCCCACCGACCCTGTTGCTTGCTTCCAGAATGATCACCTATAAAAAAGCAAAGATGGGATGGAGTCTGCAGGAGGAGCAAGTTCACAGTCAGTATTTACAGCCCATAGGGTGGGACGGGTCCCCTCCAGATGGCAAATGAACCATCTCTAGATCCAAACTCTCCCTCTGTACTGGCCAAGATCCCTCTGCCTGCGGAGCAGGTTCTCAGTTCCTAACTTGTGCCACGTTAGGACATCAACCCTCTGATGAGAGGGTCCTAGTGTTGGCTCAGAATGCTCCTTGTGCTGGAAGGAGAAACCTGAGTTTTGAAAACAGCCAGAAGAAGGCACCAACCTGTCCCTCCATGACTTTGAAACTTATGGGTTTGAATTTTGTCACCCTGGGATGGTCAACCCGGTTTTGAAGCCCTTAGAGCACCTGCCACCTTAAGGAGGGATTTGAAGGGCTCACAAGTTCTGTCCTGGTGGATCTACAGCCACAAACGTCACCGTTGGGCTGCAGCTTAGAGCAAGCTGGAGAACTGGAGAAGCTGAGGGTGTAGTTTTGAGAATCATGCCTAAATCAGATGACTGGAGCCCAAATGTTCTTCCTTCCTTCTCCCACCACTCTGCTCCACTCCCTCCTGCTTCCTTCTCCCCCTCCATGCTGGAAAACCTTTCAGTGTAGGAAAAGAAGACCAAACAAGGCTCGTGGCTCTCGTGAGGCTACTCACCTTGTGGCCAGCATCTCGGAGCAACTTCGCTGCAGTAAGACCACTTATTCCTGCACCCACAATGACCACCTTGGAGGGATGAGTTGCAGGTTCCAGCCCATGCTGGACGATCTTCAGCAGCTCGTCGTAGTCTTTGTCGTGCAGGCAATACTCAGGGAAGCACGAGAACTTCTTTGCACCTACGAGCCCCACCAGGAGGAGTATTTTGAAGAGGACTAGGGAGAGGAGAGAAGAGAAGGCGATAATGCAATGAAAGCACTTGGTGATCAACATGCAAGTTCATTCCTGACTGCCTGGGAGGGAGGTGACAGCACAAACTGGCTCTGAGCACGTTGGTGTCCAAGCCCTAGAGAGGAACATCCATCAAATCTGTTTCCAAATCGACTGGGGTGGTTACAAAAGCCCCGACAGCAGCAGGTCTCTCCTGAGCCGAGCGCTGCCAGTGCATGGGCTTTATTTTCTTTCTAAGGAGAAATCGAGTCCTTTTTCTTTCATCATGAAGATTTCTACTCGTGCAGCTGCTGTGGCAACTTCCCCAGGATGAGTTTGACCCCTCTGAAGAAGTTCAGAAGGCTCCATAACGCAGAACAGGAGTTAATGTCCTTCACATCCAAGGAATTAAAGTGATTTTGTTGTTGCCCCAACACCCTTTCCCATTTCCCAATTCCCAGAATTTTTGATGCAGCAGATAGAAGGGTGGAGGGAGGTGACATTCAGTGGAATGCTGTTGGAGATGGTTGCACAGATAGAAGGAATAGATGGAGGCAGGTTAAGATGAGACAGATGAAGATGGATGAGGGGAATTCTCTGTTTCTTTAAAAATCCACGTCCTGAGACCCCCACGGGGAGCTGGAGCCTGCTCAGAACAACCCTTCCTCCGAGAGCAGACACAACAAAGTCACGTCGATACAGTCACAGGGAGAGGAACTTCGAACTGAAACCACCCTGGGATTTTTCTAATTTGGGTTTTTCTTCCCCAAAATAACTACAGGGGCAACTTTCGTTCTCTTTTCTCCCTCCCAACTATTGCTGGTTTCTTTCTGGGGAAAAAAAGAGGTTTTTGCAGCCACCCTCCTGGGTAAATCCTGGGGGAATTGCTGCTGTTGCCAGACCAGCCCCAGACCTGTGGAGAACCTGGGTCCAGGTGGACCTGCTGTGGATCAACCTCAGAGCTGTAACCCTGTGGGTGATCTTCTGAGAGACCCAAGTCCACCTCCTGAGACTGGGTCTTTCTGCAGCCTGATCCAGCTTTGAGAAGACACCAACTGTGGTGGTAAAAAATAATTAGGAAGAATCTGCTACAATTAGGCTGTTACCAGCAGAGCTGCCTTCTTCAGAGCATGACCCAAAGTGGTATCACCTCAGTAAAGCTGCCTCAGCCCTCCTGACCCAATGCTGCTCTTCTCTTCATCTTCCTTGAGGACCTGGGATGCTGCCTTGAGTTGTCTTTAGGTTCATAGTGGTGTAGAGTCAGCAGCCAGTCTTGCTGCCCTCATCTCACCCAGCCTGGCAACCCCAAAGATCTATGGATCATGAGGAAGAGAGAGGAGATTCCTCTGGAGATCAGGCTCTCCATGGAAGGACAGCAAATTAATGGAGACCAGCTCTTGGAGACATCCAGTGGATCTCCACAGAATCATTGAGTTTGGAAGAGACCTTGAAGATCACCAAGTCCATCTTCTATCAGACCTCAGTATATGTGGAGAAACCACAAAACTGATGCGAGGAGAAGTCCTCCAGGGAGGTCCCTGGAGCTCACGCCTGTTTCTATCTCTCCATGCACAGCTAGGACCATCCCCCTCCCCAGATTTGTGAGGGAGGTTGCCCACCACCCACGGTGCTGCAAAGTTGAGCTCCAGCTGAGGGTGGAATACCCCGGCTGAGAAAAGGGACAATTGTGGTCACGCTGTCAGGAGGTGACATGAAAGGCAGATGTCCTATGAGATGGAAAATAAAAACCCCCAAACCCAAGGTGAAAGATGAAAAGAAGCTGAAAGAAAAGCAGAAGGTGAAAGAAAATCATGAAGAAGATGAAAAAGAGCAGCACAAGAGCTCGAGGTCCAAGGGAGAGTCACTCACCAATCCCAGCCATGGTCCCAGCGGGAGGATGAGTCCTCTGCTGAGCTTGGCTCTCATTTTATACCCTGGCTTCAGACCGAAAAAATGTCAACTTAGCTGTGGTGATTCAAAAACTTTCTGTCAATCAGTGGAGCCCGGAAGAG